CTAAAAAAAAGTGACTGAAATAACTACCAGGACCATAAATATACTGTAAAATATGTACTATGAAACTGTACAATGCTCTAAATGTAACAATTCAAGTTGAATTCAAACTCTCTCAGTTTGGCTTAAAGGCACATTTTTGACCTGCTTCACACAGGCAGCCCAGCAGAGTCATGTGGTCTGCTGATGGGTGATGAGATCGTGGAGCTGGGTGGATGCAGGGTGGCTGAAATGAATTATGAGCAGTTTAAGGGCAGTATGGACACAGCACAGCAAAAGGGCACTTTACTGATGGACATCCTAAGACACGGCCAGAATGGTGAGGGTGTGGAAGCTGTTTGTGAGAATGTAACACTGTTAAAGGAATAGTTCACCCCAAAATGGAAATTTGCTTTACTCACCCTTAGGCCATCAAGATGAGTTTGTTTCTAAAGCATAACAGATTTGGAGAAATTTAGCATTACATCACTTGCTCACCAATGGATCCTCTGCAGTGAATGGGTGCTGTTGGAATGAGAGTCCAAACAGCTGATAAATACACAATAATCCGAAAAGCTTTGTGTTTGTAAGAAACATATTATTAAGGTGTTTTTAACTTCAAATCGTTGCTTCTGTTGCTAAAAGACAGGTTCTCTATCCATAAAAATGCTTCTACCAGTGATAAAGTCTGTCTTGTCCTCTCGCTTTGAAATTTTATTTGTTAAAAAAACTTATTTAGAACTGTTTGTAAACGCAGTGCTTGGTCTGTGCACATTTCTCTCCTGATTCAGACGAGACAACTTTTTCGCTGGAGAAAGCAATATTATGGATAGAGGACTCATATTTTAGCCGGAAGCAACGGTTAAAAAGTTAAAAACTTTTTGATGATGGATTTATTTCCCACAAATCCACAGTTTGTGGATTACTTTTTTAAATTAGTTTTTTTTATCAGCTGTTTTGGACTCTCATTCTGAAGGCACCCATTCACTGCTGAGGATCCATTGGTGTGCAAGTGATCAGGGGCGTCATGCACTCATTATTTTTCAGGGGGCATGGGTGTGGGGTGGGGTGGGGTTGGGGGGTTCGTCATTTGACACACAGCAGCCACAATAGACTTAGCCTGTGTTTTATTTTTATTTTTTCCTTTTTAATCGAAACATTCCCAAACGCATTAACTATATCATGAAATATCTCGATTCTCAACCTTTATAGATTGTTAGTTGATCTATAGTGGGCAATGGTCAAAGTAGCCTAGTAATGTAATCTATTAATTATGCATAAAAACCTGTTTACACTTAAGTAACAGATATTGGTGTCATGCCATAACATATTTTTAATACGACTGACTTTATTTTTAACGTGAATTTAACACTGAAAGTTAATGTGAATAAAAACATTGTAAGTTAGGCTATAATCATAACACTTTCATTGGACTGAAAGAGAGCAAAGAACATTTTTATTGACAGTCTAGAGTTCAAGCACTCTCAAAAACTCCCATTAAATTCGCTGAAGCTGTTTACACTGTGAAATGAATATCTTACTTACAGATTCATATACACATCTGCAGTTTGTTTTTTCTGACGAGAGAATTCGCTGGAAAGAGGTATTCAGTCAGCAAGCGAGTGAAGAAAACACCAGCATTTTAGCGATGACTCATCTGAACACCTCTGATTGGTCATTGCATTCATAAGCTCAACAGCATCGTGTGTGATTGGTTAATGCGCAGTGCTGTAAAAACGCGTCTGTCTCTGGCGGCTCAGTATGGGAAGCCAAACAACCCAAATGTGGGAAGAAACAGCGCGGTATTCGCGCTGTGCTGACCTATCATAGGCACGGCTCAATGGACCGAGCTGCGCGGCCGACTCGACAGCGCAGAGAGGACGTGTTTACTAGCGCCACCGAACTGACAGCGCGGCGTTGATCAGTTACAACAGCGCAGCGCGAACATTCCTCTCCGCAGAAGTTCGTGTTTTTTTCCTGCACATAACAATGAAGAGTTATTACATTTCTTTTGCTTATTATCTTTCATATTACTACATGTAAACAGTAGTGTTAGCTACTTCGAAGCTCGTATAGCCTATATTTAGTAGTCACGTTCACAGCAGAAACTTCCATTATCCTCTTAGAATTAAAATATTTTATGGTTTCGTTCATCAAGGCATATTTTAAGTAAATTTTACATTTAAGGATATTTGTGTAACTGTAGCATATGATTATACTTGGAAATGTATGGATACTTTTCTGTCAGGACAAATGTTCCCTTATGGAAATATGGAAATTAACAATGGTTTTACTATAGTAAAAGTGCAGTAACCATGGATTGATTGTAATTTTTTTAACCCACAGTTTAACTACAAATATATGGTTAAAAGGTTAGTATAATAAAATCATGGTTAATTTTAATGTGTTTTCCGATAAACCTAAAACGCAATGCAGCAGTGCAAAATTCAAAATACATCATATTGAATTTACATACACTGTCCCTAATTTTTAAAGAGTTTTTTTTTATTAATTAAATTTATTTAATTTGGAGTGTAGAGAAAAGCCTTACAAACCGTATCCATTATATAAAATTGCAATGTTAAAGTTAAATAACAACGTTCCCTTTACTAGAGAGAACAAAAAAAAGGCTATTTAATAATAGTTCAAATTTAAAATGGGCAATATTGTGCTGAATACAGAACTTGACGACGACAACAACAATAATAACTAAGTACAAAATAAAAAAAACGCTGCGCTGTTGTAACTGATCAGCGCCGCGCTGTCAGTTCGGTGGCGCTAGTAAACATGTCCTCTCTGCGCTGTCGAGTCTGTTGCCAGGTCAGCGCAGCGCGAACACTTTAATACCGTGCTGTTTCATCCCACTTTTGGGTTGTTTGGCTTCCCATAGCTCAGTGCCAGCCAGCGAACGCAGATTTGAATTTAGCAGCTGTTGATATGACGTGCTGAACGATTTAATCATGCTGGTGGGATTGTATCAATTATAGAAACTATTAATCGGCTATTTTTTGTCTTTTGGAAGCTGCATTCAAAATCCACTTGACTCAAAAATCTGAGGGGGCAAGTGCCCCCTTTGAATGGGCATGACTCCTCTGATTGTAATGCTAAATTTCTCCAAATCTGTTCCCATGAAGAAACAAACTAATCTGCATCTTGGATGGCATGAGGGCAAGTAAATTTAACCAGCATAATTTAAAATGTCGTCATTTTTACATTTTAATTTTGAAATAATTTTGTGTTCACAACAAATGAATGTTTCTAACATTGTCACACTCACAAATGAAATGGTAATATATATTTTAAGTGCTTCTTAAATCAGACTTTTTACATTTCTGGCACAGTTCCTTCTGCTTTTGTCTGATTTTAATGAGCCGAGAAAGCGAAGGTGCCATTCCAGATTCAGATGCTTTATCTGTAGCTTTCTGTCACAGTGGGAAGGCGGTCTGTCTGTCTGTCTGTCTGTCAGTCAGGCTCACTGTCCGGTCTGAATGGTTTTCCTTTTTTTTTCTTTTTCTTCTTCTTACCACTGGATCATTAATCGTTGCTTCATCAAAGGGAATAATTATGAGCACCCTTTAATTTCATTAATGGACACGTATATGAAATCGTATATTTTTACCCACTTAAAAAACACTTTCACAAATTACAAATCACAACGCTAAATCACTAACAAGTTCACTAATACGTGACTTGGCATTTCTGATATGTTTTGGGTACTGGATAGACTGGGGCAGTGACCACCCTTCCCTACCGTACAAGAGCCGTAAGACCATCAATTTGACCAGTGCCAATTCAACACTTATAGGGCGGCCCGAGCACTATGTCTCAATCAGCACAACCTCTCCAGTGGAGACCGTGGGGAAGACACAGGTTAATGGACAGCCTGCTAATGTGAGTCAGGTCAGGAACATAGTGAATGTGGTGGACTGTCGGAAATCCATCTATAAATTTAACTTCTGTTGTTGTTGTTGTTGTTTGAATGTGTTCATTTTCAGTACTTGACTACATTGGTAATTCATATGCTTGCTTGTGCAGCGAATAATAAAAGGGTACACAAGGGTCGTTCAATAGAATCAATAATATTTTGTTTGAAAGAAATTAATACTTCTATTCAGGATGCATGGCATGGAAGACTCATGCTGTGTGTGTGCTCTGTTGTGCAATTTAAATGGATAATCTTTGTCCCACCTCTTTTACTAGGTGGCTCAGAGTCTGCCATCTCTGATGTGAGTCACATCTTTCACTTACATTTAGTGTTTATCAGTATTCAATTCAGTGCTGATAGTTTACTTTTTGGTTCCGTTATCGTTATCATTTATTTATGGTATCAGCTGCAGGTTCCCTCCATCAGTACCACCTCATCCCGCTGGTCATGGGATCATGAAGAGGAGAGGAGGCGGCAAGAGAAATGGCAGATGGAACAAGAGCGCCTCCTGCAGGTACCACCAAATCTCACAAATATTCTATACCAAATCCCAGATCTTGTACGCAAGCAAGAACTTTCAGTTTAGATTTTATTTTATGGTGGGATTGTTTCATTTTATACATTTTATTTTCAGTTTAGTTAATATAGTAATTTGTTTATTATGGTTAATAAATTGTTGCGTCAATCTATAGGAATACTGCAGTAACACCCGTTTCACACATACTCCGTTTGCAGTGCGTATGCAGTCCATGTGCGGTTCGTATGCGGTGCAGAAGCAGCATGGGCTCATTGTGTTTCACACAGGACGCGTTTGCAGTCTGCTACTGATCCGCGGCTGTTTGCCACAAACAACATTTATCCATTATTTTGATTTCAAATCCAATAGTTGTTACTGAAAATGCTTTTTCAGCATTGCAATTCTCTTTTTACACCGTACAATAATACAATCATAGACAGCTATTCACGTTTAAACACAATAAATACTATAAACAATGCATTTTACTTCTAGATCTAATATTCATTTGCTTAAGCTGGTGGCAAAACATTTAAACATAGCCTATAGTCTACTTTTCTTACGTTAAAAGGTAGCAGAACAGAAACGTCTGACTCTTTTGCCGTTTCATTTGCATTTAAATCTTTATTACATGCAATCCTGTGGGTCATAAAGAACTTTGTTTTTCTACCTCCACGTCACGAGTGCCATCCCCTTGTTTAACTAAGTGTTCTTTCTCTTGTTTTAAACCTAGCCAAAGGGCTATGTGTTGACTGTGAAACACCTTGGATTTTAGTTATATCAATTTATTGTGTAATTACTATATATTTTTTGTCAATCCACGTTTATCACAAAAAATGAGCTGTCACTTCAGTAAAAATAGACTCCGTGTATAAACGATCGCTGCTGAAAATGCACCGTTGCTGGAACGCACTGCCAGGTGTACCGACGATACATGCTACCTATCAGATTGTGCTACCAAAAATATATTTACATAGTGTTAAGGGTAAGTTTAGGGTAGGGGTAGGTATGGACATTAAAAAAAGCCACAAACCACATCAATAAGATGCTGGTAGCACAATCTGATAGGCAGCATTTTTCGCTATCGATTTGTGCTACCTATCTTTTTAATGGGAGGTAGCATGAATCATCAGAACACCGGCATTGTGTCCAATTCTGACCCCCGCCAGATTATTACCCCCCTGCTATTGGGAAAGGAAAAGAAAGGACAACTACGGTGACCAATACGCTGAATACACACACTGTGAACACACACCCGGAGCAGTGGCCAGCCATTTTTGCTGTGGTGCAGATGCATGTAAATGATTGTAATTTAAAATGGAAAAAAAAAATATATATACTATTTAATAAAAAAATAAAATGCATATTTGCACACTTTAGACATTCTATCAACCAACTGCATGAGGTGTCCAACATGTTGTTCAGCTTTTCAATGTGTTGCTGATAATGTAATTTGTAATAAATTAATAAATACAAAAAATTAAATGTTTACCAGTGGACTTTTGTCTGAAATGGTTTCAGGAGAATTATCGACGTGATCAGGAGAAGTTAGAAGAGGAGTGGAGGAGAGCTCAGCAGGAGGTCTATGGAGAGGAGCACAGTGGTACTGAGGTCAGAAGATTGTCATAACTTTAATATCTCTTGCTTCGTCTTTCTCCAATTTCTCTCATTCACACCCAAACAGCATGTAAATGGTGATGTTTAATACAGTGGTTCCATTGTCTTTAGACTCTACAGCATTATGAATGGTGAATAAGAATAATAACACCATTATTATTTACCTCCTGCTGGTATTAGGAGCAGAAATGTCCTGATGTGCTGTCCAATGGAAATACCACTAATATTCCACCTTCCTCCTTCAATCAATTCATTGCTACCACTTCAGTGGCATCCAGTCAGAATGCAGAGAAGGTGGTAGAAACACAGAACAGACAGACCGATGTGCAAACAGCAGCAAGACAGCAGTCACTAAAGGCAGACGTGGAGTGTGATTCAACCACAAAGAGTCAGTGGTAAGAAGTATGCCAAACACGAGTTGGAAAAAAGTTGTAGCCGTTTTATTATGTCAATGCCAAGAAAATATTAGGATGTAGCATTTCTGTAAATCTTAGGGCTGTCATTTAATTAGAAATTGTAACTGCCTTTCATTTCAAATGACAAACACACAAATTAATTCAGTAAGTTAATTCAGTGGAGACATTACATAATTGTAGCAGACAAAAGACGCAGTATATAATATTCTACAGATAGCATTGTTTTATTTCCATTTAATTGAACATCACCGGCGCCTATTCAATCCACAAGAATCTAATTTGTCAACCTGTCTGAGGAAGATTTAGGGGTTGTACATAAGGGTTGCAAAGAGGTGGAACATTTCTGGTAACTTTCCTGAAACACTTCCATAATTTTTGGAAACTTTCCAGGATTTTTTGGAAATGTTCCACCCCTTTGCAACCCTACTGTTCATATGGACACTTTTTTTGTAATTGTTGGTCTGTGTATACATGCAGACAAACGTTTTTAGCTGTTTTCCAGCATCTCGTACCATGAGCACCATATTTTTAAGATGGCAAAATTAACAGTATTAGGTTTAGTTTATTATTGTTATTTCTTTTCTTTTTTAAGCATTTAAGCTTATGTGGCATTTGTTGTTTATGTGGTCCAAGCATGTGTACATCTTACTGCTGCTTTGGTCATTGTTTGTATGTCTATCTGTCTGCTTCTGCTCTGTCTTGCATCAGCTCAGAGGAGTCCTACGGGTTTGCCAAGCTTACAGTTTCTGACAGGTTAGTTTGCTTTTGGAGCTACGTTTTCTTTTAATGGCTTTTGTGGCATGAGGAAGATGTGGTGATATTAAAAAAATACAGAAAAAAAGTGCTGCCATATGTATATACATTTTTAGATACGGTCTCATTTTAATGTGAAGAGAAAACGTAACAGTTCTGGTTCAGATTACATTTCCATTTAGTCATATGTCATGTTAACCTCATCATTCTCATCACATTCAGTTCTGTCCCCATTGCCAGAAGAATGCAGGAATTTATTGTTGGTGATGCACTTTACAGCTTGACAGTAGTGCTGTTTTATACAGCCCCAATTCCAGACGTTTTGTAAAATGCAATAAAATCAAGAATCTGTGATTTGTTAATGCTCTTTAACTTTTATTTAACTGACAAAAGTACAAAGAAAAGATTTCCAAAGTTTTCATTGACCAACTTAAATGTATTTTGTAAATATAATGTTTTGATTTTGATGGCTGCAACACCCCAAAAAAGTTGGGACGGAGGCAAAATAAAAGGTAATAGAATATCTAAGTTAAACCATTTTGAAGCAGTCCACAATAAGCAGGTGAATTGGTAATAGGTGAGGGTATCATGTTTGGGTATAAAAGGAGCATCTCAGTCTTGGCAAGCAAAGCTGGATCATGGCTCATCACTTTGTGCCAAATTTTGTGAGAGAAGTGTCAAGCAAATCAAAAATCACATTTCTCATTGCAAAATTGCAAAGAATTTAGGTCTTTCACCAACTGTAGTGCAAGGCAGGAAACCTCAGTTGAATGTGCATGACCTTTGAGCCCTCAGATGGCAACGCATGAGAAACCATCATGCTGCGTGCAGTGTTAAATATAGCCACATGGGCTCAGGAGTACTTTGATAAACTGCTGTCACTTAAGACAGTCTGCCGCTGCATCAATACATGCAACTTGAATCTCTGTTACTCTAGGAGAAAGCTAAACGGAATGAGGCCAGTGATGCCGCAGGGTTCTCTGGGCCAGAGCTTATCTCAAACAGTCAAAAAGACTGTGGAAATGTGTGCTGTGGTCAGAAGAGTCCGTATTTCAACTTGTTTCTGGGAAAAATGGACGTTGAGTTCTCAGTCCCAAAGACCAAAGGGACCATCCAGACTTTCATCAGCAACTGATGCAAAAGCAAACATCTGCATCAACATGGTATAGGGGTTGCAGTAGCGCAAACGGCATGGGTGACTGGAATACAGTATGTGCGAAGGTACCATTGACATTGTACAGAGACATATACTGCCATCAAGGTGGCATCTTTGATGGGAAGTCCATGGTTATTAGATCAAGACAATGCCAGGTCTCATTCTGCATGTGCTACAACAGCATGGTTTTGTAAACGGTGTGAATGTGCTAGATCAGTCCAGATCTGTCTCCTATTGAAAATGTATTACCAGTCATGAAAATCATGGAATCACACAACAATCAGAGACTTCTGAGCACCTGAAGTCTTGTATCAAGTGAGATTGGACAAAAATTTTGCTTGCAAAACTTTAACAATTAGTATCCTCAGTTCCCAAACAATTAAACGTAATTAAAAGGAAAGTTGTTGGGACACAGTGTTAAACATGCCTCTGTCCCAACTTTTTTGGAGTGTGTTGTAGCCATCAAAATGTGTTTATATTTACAAAATAAAATTAAGTTGGCCAGTGACCACATTGGATTTTTTTTTTCTTTGAACATTAGTCGATTAAATAAAGGTTAAAGTTAATGAACAAATAACATATTCTTGATTTTATGGCATTTCACAAAACGTCCCAACTCTTCTGGAATTGAGGTTGTACATATATGTGTGTGTGTTCAATTAATGTATACATGTATTAATTTTTGCATAGGACAAAGTCAAAATCTACTCCTGCACTTCAAGGCCTTCACAAACAAGATGCTAAAGGTCTGAATAGTTTATATTTAGGGTATTTTTATCCAAATTCCTGAGTAGTTGGGAACAGGAACAGTACTCGTCTTCCCTGCCTTGTCTCTTCATTGGCTGCAGGAAGCGGTAAAAAGAAGGGACAGCTGTCGCAGGCAGAGAAGGAACGTCTGCAGATCCTGGAGGAGATGAGGAAGAAGACGCAGCTCCTCACTGACAACAGTTGGATCCGTCAGCGCAATGCCAGCATCAACAAAGAGCCCATCACTGTGGGAACATCTGTCAGGAGGTCCTGATGAAAAACTCTTTCATTATATTGTTTAGAACAGGTTTACATTGTCAGCTCTACACTACCATTCACTAGTGTGACACTTAGAATAATGGCTGCTGAAAATTAAGCTTTCACAGAAATAAATTATATTTTGAAATATATTCAAATAGAAAACCGTTATTATAAATGTATAATAATGTTTCACTAATATTGCTGTTTTCGCTGTATTTTTGATCAAATAAATGCAGATTTGGTAAGCTTAAGAAGCTTCTTTAAAGGGGTCATATGATGTTGCTAAAAAGAACATTATTTTGTGTATTTGGTGTAATGACATGTTTATGCGGTTTAAGGTTAAAAAAACACATTATTTTCCACACTACATTGTTTCTCCTCTATGCCCCGCCTTTCTGAAACACGTCGATTTTTACAAAGCTCATTGGTCTGAAAAGTGAGGTGTGCTCTGATTGGCCAGCTATCTAGCGCGTTGTGATTGGGCGAATTCCTCAAGCGTGTGACGGAAATGTTACGCCCCTTACCATATTGTGATGCCTTGTCCCGGCTGGAGTGACGAGACAAAAACATTAAAACCCATTATAAACGAGGCGTTTGTTGCATCCAGTGGGGACATAATTACGGATTATAATGACTTATACGGTCTTTTTACGCGTTGCATTGCATCGCGATGCGTAAACATAAAACCATGTCTGCATTTGTGATCGGAGAAATGACAAACTACAAACGCTACTCTACACTGCTCAAAACTCGCATTTGAATCGTGAGTGGCAAATTCTTTAAATATTAAAAAAACTTTCAGAACAGCCGGCATTGTAGTCTACTTTCCCAGGATCAGGAAACAGTCCTCCATAAAATGCGCTGGACACATTTACAACAGTGTTTTAAATATAACTTAACCACTGATTTCTAGTCGTGTCCTCTTTTGGAAGGCCAAACAAAGTAGTTTCGCTTTCACAACGAAACACAGCATCACGCATCGTGGCCTAGAGTGAGCGGCGGCGGGCGGGCTTGCGGCAACCACATGTGATGACCCCGGGCTGGACTCCGCTTCGTCCATGGGGAAAGCTGATCTGGCGATCCACAGCGCGAAGTTGATGTATTTCCTCCGCGACCAGCACGGATCAGCTCCAGGCATGATGAAGCAGATATCGTCCTCTTTTGGAAGGCCAAACAAAGTAGTTTCTTTCACAGTGAAACACAGCGTCTGCACGACATGGCGGCGGCAACAACAATACTACAGCGAAAATAAAAGTTACGCCTTCTTTCTTTGCGTGAACATTTTGGCGGCGTTATGCAAATCTTCCCACATTGTGACGTATGTGGGAGCGTGTTAGAACGCGTCGTTTTAGGTAGGCGTGGTTAACTCTTAACTTTTATAAAGAATATCTATTTGCAATTGAGACTTTAGTCTTTGCAACTTTACAGATCTTCTTTATGCACCAAGAGCTTGTAACACTCCAAAGAGAAAGGACAAATTGAAATTGAAAAAAAAAAAATTACAAAACCTTACCGACCCCAAACTTTTGAATGGTAATGTGGTTTCCTTTGTCAACCAGGACACATGATTTTCAATCTGTATGTCTTAAATCTCTCAATCTCTGCTTCACAGATATGAATCTCTGGACAACCTCCACACAACTAGCTCCTGGTCCAGGCAGTCCTACACTTCAAGTATCGCAAACAGGCCTCATTCTTCTTTGGGAAACACTGGTACTTACAGGAGCGGACGCAGCAGCCTGAGCCCTGGTTCAGCCATCTTCTCTACCGGTCTTAAGCAAAGCTCCAACTTTCCCACCTCACCAATCACAACTACACCTGAGCTATCAGGCCCTGAGTCCTGTCCAAACTCTCAGCAGCGTGGCAGGTATGGACTAGTCACCTATGTTTAAGTGTGGTATTTCAAAATGAATTGGTTCTTTGTGTTTTTAGTGAATAAATCCAAAGCATTGCTTCATGTTAATGCATTTTCAGTTGAAACACTTTTAAGCCAATTTTGAGTGCAGCTCTTTCTTTCTTTTTTTCTTTCTTAAGAAGGATTTCACTCTACCTGACCTTTAACCCCAGGTATTTTTTTTAGAAAACAGTGGCTATGCTCTGAATGGAATACTAGTGTACGGCATACTTCAGTGTATACTGTAGTGTATACTGTAGTGTACTCTACAGCTCAAAAATTTGGAATCGGTATGATTTTTACTTACTTTTATTTTATTTTTTTATAATAATACTTTTATTCAACAAGGATGCAATAACTTGATTAGAAGTGACAGTAAAAACTTTTACAGTCTTAACAAAAAAAAAAACTTTTACTCAAAGAATCTTGGGAAAAAGTGTGATGGTTTGCACAAAAATATGAAGCAGCAAAAATGTTAATGTATTCAAGAAGAAGAAAACGGTTATTTCAAATGGCAATAATATTTCACAGTGTTAATGTTTTACTGTATTTTTTTATCAAATAAATGCAGGCTTGGTGAGCATAAGACACTTCTTTCGAAACATAAAAAAAAATCTTACAGACCCCAAGCTTTTGAACAATAGTGAACAGTATATGCTGCAGTGTATATTGTATTGTATACTGCATACAGTATTTCTTGCAAATAGTATTATTCCACAAAACCTCACCGTGTTGCCTGCTATCTCTGAAATAAGTACTGTTAACATTTGAATCTAATTTTGTGTAAAAATTTACATTTTTGGCTATGTTATTAAATATGCAGTCAAGGTAGAAATGATCAAATTGTTATTGATTTGAGTTTTTTCCATTGAAAACTCAAGTGGAACATATTGCATTGTGGGATACAGTATTTCACACGTCATGCTCTCATTGGGCACATTTAGCCAATTCAGTTATTTCATGCATACTGAAACTTACTATCTACAGTATACATGCAGTATAGTATGGTAGTATGCTATTCCGAAACTTTCAGTACTCTGCCTCCAACCTCTTCTTTTAAATGTAGTCGAATCAGTGCAAGGGCAGAGCAGTGCTGTCTTCTGTCTGACATTGAACTCTGACACTGGCATGTGGTGCCTGTAGGCTGGTCAGTGGCAGGCGGATGTGCTCGAGGTGCGAGCAGCCTCTGGGGAAGGGAGCTGCCATGGTCATCGGTTCCCTGGAGCTCTGCTTTCACATTGGTTGCTTCAAGGTGAGACTGTAGGTCACCTGAAAATGAGAGTGAGTGGGCACTCCGTGGATCGGTTGCACCTTTGCTGGATTTTTAACCTTCGTCATTTGGGCCAAGATCATTAGTCACCTAATATCAGTTAATTCATCTACTTTGGTTTAGGCAATCAGATTACAAGTATGCAAAACAAATTCGAAATGGTGTAGATTTCTGTCTAAAGTCCTAATTTGGAATCCAGGGAAAAATTATGTAAGGAATTATAACAGTAGTGCTTTAACTCTAACTTGTGTTTTAATTAGTAAGTTAATAACATTGTTTGTCAAATTGAAATTTGTTCAAAGTGAAGTCCAGCCTGTTTTCTGATTGCCTCATTGCCAATAAACTTGGCGAAATGAACACACCTTTGGCTAAACTCAGCATAACCAATACCGTTGCATCACCAGAACCCTGCCTGTCACTGATCACACAGGCTTTTCCAGTCACAAAACCACTGTATTTTCCGGAATGTCAAGTTTTTGTAAATCATATGAAATGTGTTGTGATTTTATATGCCAAAGCAATTTGCATGAGCTCAAGTTTATCTGTATAGCGTAACTCCCATACACAAGTAGTTTCAGTTTTGCTTTAAATAAATGAGTGCAGGCTTTGCGTTTTTATATATATACATCAATAAATGATAAATTTTTATGTAAGCGCATATTACATTATTTCAGAATAATGCAACTGTTTATCTAGTAATGAAACTTGACTTATACAACCATGCAGTTTTTGATTTGGTACGACCTATAGTCAAGTGTAACTTTTTTTCCGGAAAATACAGTATTTGCTTTGGTCTCTTGCTTTCCCTCTAATAAAGCTTGTTCCGTTTAGATTCCTGTGTCCGGTTGCAGGGGTTGTGTTTTGTTTACGGTAGCTCCTTGTTTCTTCACTGCTGCACAGGATGGTTTCATCACTGCTTCACCAGCCTTCACTAAAGAAATCATCTTTTCAAATCTAGCTTTGGTGGAGGATCTGCCCACGCTGATCCAGTAATCAGCATTGCTAATGAATAAATAATTTTGCCTGATTCGGGAGGCTTTGCGGGCTTTGGAGTCGTTTGTATCCTCTCATCTTGATGTGTGTCCAGACTCGCTGTTTCTTGTTGATCTTGCAGTGTGTCAGCTGCAGGACTGACCTTGGGAGAGGGGCTGAGTCCGGAGCTCAGGTCAGAGTCCGACACAGACAGCTCTTCTGTAACAGCTGCTACAGCAGAATCAGAGGTAAGAAAGAACCAACATGCCAGCATCAATTCAGTGTTTGCTTTGAATAACCATACACTAAAATCTATTGAGAATACTAGCCTGCAGACTAGCCTTTATTCCTGAATTTAATTACACTGCTAATGGTGCTCGGTCCTGATTAAAACCAGCCTAATTGCAGACGTGTTACAAAAGTTGAAAACTACTGCATCTGAATGATGCAAGATCACTTGCCTTCAAATATATTATTATATTATATTAATATTTGGGGTTGTTATATTATAAATATTAATATTAGTGTTGAAATATTATAAATATGGTATATTTTATTTTTTATTTATTTAAAAAAATTTAAAGATGGTCATGCAATATATTTTAATTAATTATTCAGAGATCATCTCAGCTGAATCTCTCAAACTTTTTCATTTTTTATGCCAATTTTTTAAGTGAAATATTCCTTTCTCATTGTAATCCTCAGTATTCACAAATAGATGACTTTCAGAAACCTTTGCTTTTAGTTTTTGAGAACAACATGCTAACTAAAAGACTCTGTATGCATTTTTCTCTTAGTCTGTTCCTCCATCTCCAAGTGACCAGAATGCATTGCAACAGATCGTAGAGGAGTGTACCACAGAAGCGGTCTCAGGAATTACAACTATTGGCACAACCTAACCACAGCAGCAGGCTTTATCCACTGCTTACTCTCACTGCTTTGACAATCAATGCATTGAGACTGATATTTCTGTGATTGTTCTCGTAGTATGACCGCTACATAGTGACGAGTTCGAACATGTTATTTTGATCATTGCTGGAAACCCAGAGGTTGTTTCTGTACTGGCTGGCATCCATGTAGTAAGATGAACATGCATTGCTGAACGGTTATGCATTCCATGTGGCAAGTAATAACATATCTGATGTGTCTCATGACTTCTAAGAACTGTTTTATTTTCTTTTGCTGAGAACTAGTTTCTTTACCATATCATCTAATTTCTTTAATTTAAGCTTTCCTCTGATAATTATTTAATAAATGTTCTAGAACACTTTATTTGGCACTTTTTTCCCTTTCATTGGTAGAAATCACATAGTGGTGATGGTGGAAGGGTTAAGTCATTGTTCTGTTCCAGTTAATTAAGAGGAACCTTGTGCAACATTTTTAAACAGTCTGCTTAACAATAGAATTGTATTTGATCCGTCTTACTAACAGATTTTAAAATGTATAATCCAGTAGGTGGCACTTTTTTCCCCCTTCCTATTTAGTAGATTAAATATTCTGTCAATCAGATGGCCTGCACATAGAGATTGTATTGCATATAATTGTAAAATCAAATTACCTTTGATGCTTCTTTCCAAGCCCCTATGCCAGATGTTTCTGTTTAAAGTTTACATGTCTCTCTCCTTGTATGTCATAGTCTAGTTATAACTGACTAAACAAATAAATTAAGTGTTGCCATGGAAATAAAGCATAATTTTAAATGGAAAAATTATCTACTGAAACTATTTTCACTGAAGAACTAAAACCCATTTTTTTCTTTATTTTTTTATTTTTTTTTACTGAAGCCTATTTTTATCTATCTGTATCATTATCTCGTTATATCCTGGCTGAAACCGATACATGCTTAAGTCCTAATTTGGATAATTTAAGAGTTGCTGTAGACCATTGCCAGACTTTTTAGCTTCCTGTCATTAACTTGCTCCCACAGTCATTTCCGTTCCTACAACTAACATTATTTTCAATGGTTCTACAGTGCAGATTTGTCATCCTGTGGAGTGTTAGAATAATAGCAGCTACCTGCAGCACTTTGTTCTAAATTTCCATTTTTCTTTCCATTTTTCCAAGTGCTCCAAAAAACAACCCAATATTTAAACAAGGAACATTATCACCAACCACTGAAATGTGGTGGTGGTGTTGTTCTGGTGTTTTTATGATGGATTGCATACCAGGTGCATATCTGCCACCTTACTGGACTGGAGTGTAAAGCACTGAATTTTTGGCTGAACAGTTTCTTTAAAAGTGGTTTACTGCTTTATTTACCCCAAAATGAGTATTCTTTCTTTTGTTTACTCACTCACTCATGTATTTACAAACTCGTATGGCACACAGAAGACGAATATCCTGGAATCTCTTAAATGCGAACTGGTGCACAGCAAAACAGAAACTCACCGTAATGGTTCATACCACACAATGGCTTGGAGTGAAGAACAAATTAAAGTCATCATTCACTGAGGATCCAGCCTAGTTCTCCTTGGCATTTTCGTGAATGATGTAGCACTAACCAATGTGCGGGTAAAGAAAAAAAAACTTAACTGTCACTGTTAACTGAAAGCTTAGAAGCTTAGATTCATCCTGTGAAAACCATTTTGAAATCGGACATTGCGTTACCATAGAAATGGTACTTTAAAATCTTTTGTCGGTCTCCTCCCCCTTAGTGGGCAGTGTCAAGTGTCATATTATAAACTGCATTACGTCTTTTAGAATCAAATCTTTATATAATCTTGACAAAAAACATAACATTGGAAAGGTCTGAGTCTCAGGATTCCATATTTGGTGGTTATTTTGAGAGAGAATAGTAATATTTACAGAGAAATCTAGACATTTGTGACAAAAATGCATTAAAAAAATTCAATGGAGATTGGCGAATATCCTGGATTCTCTTAAATGCGAACTGGTGCACAGCAAAACAGAAACTCACCGTAATGGTTCATACCACACAATGGCTTGGAGTGAAGAACAAATTAAAGTCATCATTCACTGAGGATCCAGCCTAGTTCTCCTTGGCATTTTCGTGAATGATGTAGCACTAACCAATGTGTGGGTAAAGAAAAAAAAACTTAACTGTCACTGTTAACTGAAAGCTTAGAAGCTTAGATTCATCCTGTGAAAACCATTTTGAAATCGGACATTGCGTTACCATAGAAATGGTACTTTAAAATCTTTTGTCGGTCTCCTCCCCCTTAGTGGGCAGTGTCAAGTGTCATATTATAAACTGCATTACGTCTTTTAGAATCAAATCTTTATATAATCTTGACAAAAAACATAACATTGGAAAGGTCTGAGTCTCAGGATTCCATATTTGGTGGTTATTTTGAGAGAGAATAGTAATATTTACAGAGAAATCTAGACATTTGTGACAAAAATGCATTAAAAAAATTCAATGGAGATTGGATGGCACCCATTGGCTATTTGTGGTATAACACCCTAAATAAAATCTCACAGGAACCTCTTAATTTTTTTCATATCAACTTCAAATTTGGAACATAACTTATTTAGACATAAGGCTTTAACGTTATACCAATTTTAGAGTAAAACCTGTTATGTAAAATATTTACTATATATAAAATAAAATGAGTGTGCATTTTCTTTACAGTAAATTTAAACTTGTATAACTTTTTGATACTTTCATTTTATGAAAAAAATCCACTTTTGCAATAATCTGCTGATTTTCTTCTTTAAAAAGAGAGCAACCATCCAAAGTGTTCACAAATTACAACAATTTAAGGTTGGATAGTGCATAAATTTGGATATTTAAAAAAAATGGGGGGTGACCGTATTAATCAGTTCACCAAAGTACCTAAATCAGTTAAAATGATTTAATAAATCAAAATGATTTTGTTCGAGTTCATCTCACTGAACAGGTCACAGTGAATTGGATGATCATTGAATATAATAGTCTGTTTCTAACATTAAATTATTTTATGGCTACATAAGAAACTGACAAGCTTGGAATATTAGCAAGTTTGAAAGCTCAAGACACCATTCTTCCAAAATCCATGGAAAACAAAATGTCAATTTCTTCTAAATGTCTTTTTTTTCTCTTTTTCTTTTTCTCGAATTCGATTCAGAACAATAAGAGAGTAAAGAGCTGTTCACACCGAGAATGACAACTATATTAGAGTCCAAACTAACAGACGATAAAGTTCTGTTTAATACAGTGTACACATGCTGCGAGTTTTGTAGTCTGCCACTTAATATACTTGTGCTTATTAAGCAAGGTGAATTCTGTTTGGCTGCCATTGTTTTTATTGTTCATAAACTGGAGAAAAAAAATCTTTATTTCTAAAAGTGATTCCAATGATATTGTTCCTCTGTCCTTACCTTTATAGTGGACTTCACTATTCTCATCAAATTAAATTAATTGTTTTTTTCATTGTAGTTATCCTTAAGTTTAATATTTGCACAATTGTGATAATAATGTTGATGAACAGATGGTGCTTTTCCGTCCCTCTCCATACATGTAGATACCTCTTCCCTCAGCAGTGCAATCTTCCCAGAATTGTCATAGAATGACCTTAGTGCATTAGCCGCAAGGGTTCACATCACCAATAAAGCACAGCATTCCGTTCATGCGTGCAACCAAGTCTCAGATGTGTCCTCTTGCTTAGTGTGCCAGTGATGCTCAGTTCATGCAATCTGAGCTTTACATCTGCTGGCTGAGGTCAACAGACTCCCTCTGAGAGACCAAGGGACAATTGGTATAATTCTTTAACTGATTTAAATATACCCAAATAACCCTGGAATTTAATTTTGTATATGGGGACATAAAGCCAGCTGGGGTCAGATGATACTAAACAAAAGAAGACCTTCTATAATGGTGCCTGCCACGGTTTGTTTTTATTTGTCCCGTGTTTGCAAAAGTCTCCCTATTTATTAGCATAACCTATTTTATCCCTTCCTTGTTTTTCTTTATGCACGTTGACATTTAATCTCTCTATCTGTTGTGTTCGAGATCTGTATATTTTTTACCATTCCCTTCAGCTAGTTCATAACACATGGCCTTTTTTAAGGGCACAGTAGCACTTCTGTGTCTTTATATGGGAGTGCAGTGAGTTTTAATTTATTTAGCTTCTTTACTGCCATGGTAGATTAAGGGCTGTCCCTCTAAACCCCTAAAGCAGAATAAGAGTTCTCAGCCAAATGTAGGATGTTTTGTTTTCCCTTGCAAAGCATATCTGCAAACAAGAAGCAGTTTGGGTAGCTTGGGAACAGAGTTTGAGTAAATATAGGATGGTTTGGAAAATACCTCCCACCCCCGAGTCTGTGTATATTGTGGTCTTTCTGTGTATCCCTCAGATAAGGCTTCTCAGACTATTACAGAAAAGTCTGAATTCGCATTAAGTTATAGATTACTGTACCACAGATCAGTGAAATTGTTGCATAAATGAAGGAATGAAATATAAAAACCTCATTGGTCTCAGCAATCACTTTCCTGTTAATGTTTACGTGCTTTTTTTTTTTTTTAAGAGTATTCCTGGAAATCCATGTAAACTGCATTGTCCTTGTGGAAAATACGCATTACCAAATTTCCCATGACACTCTATGCTTAAACTATAAACAACGTGCAGTTACATAATAATGGAGGAGTGTTAACAGTTCAAATGTAATGAAATGTCCGGTGCACTGTAAAAAATGATTGTGATTTTAACAGTAAAATACTGTAAAAATGCTACAGTAAAAAAAATGTTAAGTATGTACAAGGTGAATAAGTGTAATTACATTTAATGTAATTTGACAGTAAAATACTGTTAGATTTACTGTTTTTGAAAACGAAAAAGTCATTCTATAATTTACAGTGAAAACCCGTAAATTGACACTCCCAGAATCACCCTGCATGACACTTAATATTTGATGTTTTTTTTTTTTTTTAAATAACCGTTTCTTATTAGTTTTTTTCTTATCAGT